ATTGGGTTATTCTCTTTCGAAACAACATAATAGTGCATTTGGAAAGATGATCGATCGGTTTGCAAAGAGAGGAAATAGTTCTTATTCAAGTTCTTTCTAGTGGGAAAAAAAAGCCTAAATACACAACAAAAGGTGGAGGAAGGAAAAAAAAAAAAGGATCAGTTCTGAAGGTATACCTGAAAATTTCAGATATCAATCATGAGGCAGTTTAGAGCGTGCTGCTTTATGGCTAAAATTCCTGGCAAAAAGGTACTTTCCTTTTTCTGTAGTTTCCAAGTAGCAGGGAATCAAAAAAGCTGAAGGGTCTTACTGAAAAATACGGACTCTCAGAGTGATCACACTGCTCATAGCTTTTACAGACTAACTGGTAACAGTTCCCATTTGGTACACAAATGTGCGAAGCTCAGTGAAGGAGCTGATGTGCTTGTGATTCAGCCCAGTTAGCAAAATATTTAAATCATGCTTGAAAATAATGAATAATTCACATGACACTTCACTGGAGTGACCAGAGGCAGGCAGAGTAGAGGCTGCACGGAAAGAAAAAAATTACAGCTTGGAAAAACCAAATGCTACATAACACCAGTGCTGACTCCGAGCAATTACATCCAGCCAAGTCAGCAAGTATCCAATATAACGCACTCCTTTGGGCAGTACTGTACTCATCTATGGGACAGACAGACATATTGAGGGGCATATTGAGTATACAAGGCCAGAGAGAGAGAAAAAAGAAAAGAAAAAAAAAAAGAGGTACTTTGATTATTACACAGCTTAGTTTCAACTTGCTTTCACATAGCAAATTTGCTTTAAATTGCATAGATGCTAACCCCAACCCTAACCCTGAAATCAAGAGAACTATATCAGTTTGCATCAGCTGGGGAGATGTAATCTATTGTACCTGGACTCATTCAATTCCATTTTAAGGGGATCAAGTGGGACTTACGTGGCCCAGAGGCCTTGGGCTGGATGTCTGCACTGGGATGAATGTCATCTGTGTAGGCTAAAATTAATAACAAAAGCTGAAATAAATAACTCATTATAACAGTAACCCCACTCATTCAAATAGCATTCTAATGTCAATGAAAGAAACCTGTCAGGAGCCTTAGAATTAGCCATTTGGTGAGGTCTGTTCTTTTCTGATACCAATACCCTCCAGGAGATGCACATTTCTGCTTCCTAATGTTTTCTGATGTCAACTCGCAGCCTGTTCATTTTCTTTGACCTTCTCTTTGTTTTGTGCTAGGGCGAATGTTCTCAGAAGTGCTATTACATCTTTGTCATTGAGACCATCTGTGTGGCTTGGTTCTCGCTGGAGTTCTGCCTACGATTCATCCAGGCGAAGAGCAAGTGTCAATTTTTCAAAGGGCCCCTAAATATCATTGACTTCTTGGCTATTTCACCTTATTATGTTTCTCTTATTGTGCTGGACGATGACCCAGGGGAGGAGACCGAGAGATCGAGCAGCAACTCATATTTGGAAAAGGTTGGACTGGTGCTACGAGTCTTACGTGCCTTGAGGATCTTGTATGTGATGCGCCTTGCCAGGCACTCCTTGGGCCTGCAGACTTTGGGGCTCACCGTTCGAAGATGCACCCGGGAATTTGGCCTGCTTTTGCTCTTCTTGTGCGTAGCAGTCACGCTGTTTTCCCCTCTGGTCTATCTCGCTGAGAATGAATCTGGCAAGGTCCTGGAATTCACAAGCATTCCAGCCTCATACTGGTGGGCCATCATCTCCATGACCACAGTGGGATACGGAGACATGGTACCAAGAAGCGTCCCAGGTCAGATGGTGGCTCTCAGTAGCATCCTCAGTGGGATACTAATAATGTCTTTCCCAGCAACTTCCATATTCCACACGTTCTCCCATTCCTATTCAGAGCTGAGGAAAGAGCATGAAAGACTACAGTCTCAGCTCAACCGAATAAAAAACCCCAATCACTCTGCTGGAAGTGACACCTTCAATGAGACAGACAGCTTGATTTTGGAGGACCCAGCCTCCCCAATCAAGTACAGTTACACAAGAACCTAAACCTGGCTGCAAAGCCTCTGGGAGGGCAACAATAATTGATCAGTGTAATGTGCAAAGCCAAGCAGAGCAACAACATGGGTGACTTGTCGTTTCTAATGCAATTTCTTTTTGCCAATGTGGGCAGACCAGATTGAGCAAGCCAACTGGAGTCTTGCAGCACACCACTGTGGAGATAGTGAGCTTTAAGGATGTCTAAGGTTGGGGGTTATTCAAACAACAAATATCTACTCTTCACTACTGCTCACTTTTTATTGATAAAGCTAATAAGGAAGTCCAACTTTGCCTATATTAGTTATATAACCTGCTGAATTCCTAACACTGAATGAGTAACAAGCAGAACAGCTTTTGCTGACATAAGTAACACCTGTTGTTTCACTTGCCTTTGAGTTTCCAATGTTCTTTGCAATTAACACCTAGAGCCAATTACCAGAATGGATTCTTGTAGGGCTACGCACCATTGCCAGTTATAAAGTGCTCATGAACAGGCGTATAGAAGAATCCATGATGCCGATACACATTCTATATCTAAGGCACTAACAAGCTTAAGTGAAGTACTGTATATGAAAGCTTTTAAAGCTCATTCTGCAGTCAGATGCTCAAACCTATAAATAAAGGATTGCACTGCTACTGTCAATGACTTATATAGTGCTTGTAAGAGAGTCTGCTTGAAATGCAATTTCAGCCTGCCCTCTGTAAACATTTCAGATGAGATAGATGAAGTTTTAAGTTTTCAGATTATTTTCTTTCACATACTTGAGCTAATGAGAGAATAAAAAAGGTGTAGTGACTAAAAAAAAAAAAAAAAAAGAATCAGTGTTTTCCTGTATATTGGATTGGGATGGCATCACAACATGTGAAAAAAGGTCAAAATGAAAACAAATATATATTGCAGACAGCAGACGTGGAATCAGCCAATAAATATTCAAAGGGTACGTATGTTATATATTGTGAAGAATTATTTCTTGGCTTATCACGATGGTTTCCTAGAGGAAGTCGTGGAGGATAACTCATTTCATGCTCATTTTGGGGGACATTCAGCTAGATGGAACAAGGTACTAGGTCTCATGGGATATCTTAGATGGCCTTGATGGTCTTACCCAACTCTGCTTTCTGAGATACGGTGAATTAAGTTAATTAGGACTAAATCCACAGTTCATGGGCAGCACCTATAAACAAGGGCTGTAGCTTTAATGAGGTACTTACACATATGCCTAACCTGAAGTATGCAAGTCACTTCATTGAAATCTATAGGATTCTCACCTGGTTAACTTGGGCAAGTATTTAAAGTTTCTTCTGGATCAGGGCCTAAGTAAAAACTTTCCTATCTAATTGATGGTCTTAATTATGGCATTTTTCAAATCTTATTGAAGCCCTGCAAAAGAGAATATTGTCATCCAGATTTAGAAAGGGCTATGTTGCGCACACAGCTGCAAATTTCCATTTTCACTGCTGTGCAGTGAAGAACCCAGTATGCATGCACACCTTTGAGCAATTGTACTGCGAGTCCTATGGGGAATTACCTGAATTGCATATATAGATATGAAGATGAGAAGTTATGGAAGTACAGTAGCTATTCATACATATTGGGTGGCTCACTCTGTGGTGGTGGTTGAGAATCTAGGTCTGTGTGCTATGGTTTGTTTGACTCATTGCTTATATACAGCAAAGCATAGCTATTAACTCACAGAAGGTAACCTGAATAAAGGAAACTTAGCACATTATAGATCTGATGCTCCAGCACATTTGGGGCAAGAATGATACACACACATCTTTAGATATATAAAATGAATGTATATATGTATGTACGACAGTGTTTCAGAAATGTATGCATATACAATGTATACATATATACAGACGTATATGTCTATATATGTGCATATGCATATACAGTGCATGCATCTGTGTATATACATATATATGTCTATATATGTGCATATGTATGTATGATGAAGTTTTGATGTTTCAGTTTCAAAATAAAACAATTTTGTGTCCATTGATCATTTACTAGACCACAGCTTTTCTACCTAGCCATAAATGATGGGTGTATTCCACAATACTGCCATCAGTGTTGCCCACTGCTGTGTAGTTTTCCACTCACTGTACACAAAATAGTTTCATTTCTAAATTGATGTTACTTTTTGAAACACCTTTGCATGTACATGTCTGCATGTATGCATGTATGTACGATTGTACATATGTACGCACACAAATACACATGCAAATACACACCCACCGAGTCTACCCACACATTCTGCTTAGTTTATGCCTCCATCATTGGATTTCTTTCTGCAATTAAATGTGGCTTTCTAACAGCAAGTCTTTGGATTTGGTAAATCTTGGAAATACACATTTTCATTAAAACATGACCCTCTGGAAAATTCATGAAATTAGGCAATGCATTGATTTTCCTTCTTAAATCAATATTTTTATTACTTTAAGAATTATTTCAGCATGGTTATATGGAAAACTAACCCCCACCCCCAAATTGCAATACAATTTTATGATTTAGCTGGCATTGGTCCTGCTTTGAGCAGAGGGTTGGACTAGATGCGACCTCCTGAGGTCCCTCCCAACCCTCATTTTTTATAATCCTATGATTTTGAGCATACAGAATTAGAAAAGTGCATGACCTTTTAATTAATACTGAATGTGGCATCAGCTTAACATCTGATGGGTCAAGCGACTTTAATCAAGTCTCAAGCAATCTAAAAACGATGATTCAGCAAAGCACTTTAGTATATATGTAAATCCTATCAAAGTCTGAGCTGTGTAAGTAGGTGCTTAAAATATTGTGAGGAATTATGTAGGGGTTACTCAGGTGCCACAGTTACGTGTTTCCATCTCTAATAGACGTCAACATATAGCCCAGTCTGGGCTCCCCGGGTTTTCATGGAGATTGTCATTCATGATTCACTATGTTATTAAAAAGGGAAAAAATATGTTGAGAGGAACATTTAGTTCCTGTGTAATTCAATCTAGTAATGAATTCAGTACAGGCAGTTGTAATTAGCGGATATTGTTGCTGCCAAGTACATATCATTTCATAAGTAGACTTAATTAAAAGAGCAGTTAAGGTACCTGGCATCCAGCTTCTCATCTCAAAATCTGTTTTTTCCCCCAAATCTAAACACAAGAAAAAACAATAAGGAGCTTTAGGAAATGCTGTTTATTTTCACGGCATGAACCATCCTAGCCTACATCTAGACCCTTCTTAAGCATAGGTCTTATCACTATCCTTCATGTGCCTGCAGATGGTGGCAAGTCACAGAGTGCAAAGTTCTCCAACCAGCTCCCAATCACTGTCCCATGTTTGCAGAGGTTGGTTAATGCTGTACCCTGCAAACCAATTAGCGACTACACACGCAGACTAAAACAGTTCCTGCCTCCCCTTTTTTTAGCCAGAGGAACTGATGAATGGCAAAGGGAAGTTGTTGAAGACGTCTGAGAAATATATTCCCCACCAAAAGCTTGCAGGGAGAAACTGAACACATCTGCAGGCGTCCTCCAAGAACTGAGATGCATCAGAGCTTGGGTCATAGAACCTGCCTGCTTTTGCACTCTGCACGGTTTTAGGGATCAAAGCCCTTGATCAAAACCAATCAATACTGTTATGGTTCCAGTGGACAACAAATCCAAATAAATAAATAAATAAATAAATAATCATGTGGGAAAAATGTGAGAAATCATTCTCAGTAGTAACTCCCCTGCTCTTGGACTCTCTCCCTCTTGTGGCCTGCCACAGCCCAAGCCTGGACATCTTCCAGAAGCACTGCAAGACCTTCTTATTCAGGCAAGCATTTAGCAAGCCAGGTCACACTGAAGTTTTGCTCGGGAAGGTTGTTATGTAAGTATATATCTTATTTCACTGTTTTTTATAAAGCTATGTTATCTTGAATCTGCCCGGTGACGTTTTGGGGAAAGTTGACATATAAAGGGTAACATATAAAGCAAAAACAGTAAAGAAACAAATACAAACCCACTAGCATTCATATATCATGAAGGACATGGGGTTTACCATTTAACTCAGATCAATCAATCAGTGGAATTATGAGACTGATGAATTCCATTGCAATTTACTTCTAGAGGTATTGCATATTTTATGCATGCCTTAAATCTAAGCAATTTATAACCTTGGGTTTCTCAGTGCTGTTATTTAAATCTTAGCCAAATACCAGAAGTACAAACAATTCATTTTTATGCAGTGATTATGAAGATAGAATCAAAACATTTCTGCTGAATACAATCTACTCAACTTGCTCGACTTAATCTGATTCCTAAACTAACTGTGTTTCTTTCTATGACCCGGTCACTAAAAGCTGAAGTGCAGGAGTCGAGGTAGATGTCATCTACTTGGACGTTAAGAAGGCCTTCGACACGGTATCCCATCCTATTCTTATAAACAAATTGAGTGGTTGTGCACCCTGTTCAAATTTGCTGATGACACTAAGATGTGGGGGGATGTGGGCATGCTAGAAGGGAGGAATAGGCTACAATTGGACCTAGACAGGTTACAGGGGTGGGTGGATGAGAATAGGATGGGATTCAACACTGACAAGTGCAAGGTGATGCACCTGGGGAGGAAGAACCAGTATACCTACAGGCGGGGAACTCCCTTCTC